AGCTCTCCGACGGCCGATGCTGTGAGGGGACCTCCTCTGCTTTCGTTAGTCAATTAGATCTTAATTGACGGTCTTGGTCCATTACGGTGACAAGTTCCAATCTCCGGTAGCGATGTGGTGTGGACAATCGGCGGGAGAAGCTCTGCGGAAGCTCGGTTTGCTCGGAGAAGGCGGTCGTGTGGGCTCAAGACGTGGTAAGCTCTGCTTGAGGCGGCAGAGAGGCTTGTCGTTGAGTTTCGCGGTGGTTTTTGAAGAGTTTCGAGAAGGGTTTCTTTTTGCGCCGGTTAGGAGGGATCGCTGTGTGTCGGGAGTTGCTCCGTCCGTGCGACGATGGCGGTTTTTAGTTTCGGAGATCCAAATTTGTTGACCGAATTGATGGTTCTCTGTATAAGCGGTGGAGTAGGGTTTCGTAGGGAAGAAAGATGAACTTTAGGTTTTGAGATCTATGTGTCGTCTTCTTTAGTTCGACGGTGTGGCCGTCGGGTTTCTTCAGAGCTTCCGAAGCGTCTCCTCCGGAAGAAGGTGGCGGATCCGAATCTCGTTCGTTGCAGCTCGGTTTGGAGTCGGATACTCTGGTCCGGTGTTTTCTGTTCCGACGATGATGAGGAAAAGCTAGTTTTCCTAGCCTCTCTTTATCCGACGGTGTCGGCGGTGGTGGGGCTCGTCTGAAACTTTTTCCCACCATAAATTTTGTCTAGGGTTACCATCTTTTCCTTCGTGTTGCTCTTGGCTTTCTCTAACCGTGCTTTTGTTTTTGATGAACCGGATTGTACCAAAACCAATTATATTTTGGGTTGGATTATATTTTTGTTTATTATTAAAAAAAAACAAAATCAAAAATTTTGTTCCAAATTAATCCATCAATTTGGTGACCAATGGCGAAATTAATAATTTATATATCTTAAAACTGAAGAGATCAATCTTCAAACAAAATTTATACGAATCTTAAATATGTGTAAAAATTAACAATGATTAAAATCACAATGAAAAAACTTATATTCTAACTCTCTCGTCAATGGAATTTGTTTTTTCACTAGAATACTTGATTTTTTTTTTTGTCAATATAACAAAAAGATTAATTTGCTTAATAGCCAAGAAAAAAAAGAATTTAATCAAGTAACAAAAAATCTTAAAATCAATGGCTGTGATTGTGCCACATAAAGAATCTTTGGTTATTTGACTAAGACGGCAAAAAATTTAAATGAGCATCATGCTCTTTATCATTAAAACTTGATTGGTAGACAAAACATTAAGCATAGCGTTTAGTAACTGATAATGCTCTCCAAATACTATCCAAATGCTTTTACTCTCAATGCTCATAAATAGAACTTTTCCTGAGCTTTTTTCCTAAGATATTAAAAATATATATTAAATAACTAATTTGTTTATATATAAGATCAAAAATAAATTATATTAACT